TGACAATCCGGGTTGAGCACACGGAACAAGTAACACTCAGCCCCAGGGTAAGCGGAGACCGAGTCCGGGTACTAGTTGCTAAGGCACTTCAAGTTGGCGTACAGGGGGAGCAGGAAAACGCCTTTGGTCCCAGGCTATAGGGGAACTACCTTTTGGTACCAGGGGGCGGGAGGTAGGAAAGGGTTCGGGTACCGGGTGGTAGGGTAGATTAGGTTCGGGGGGGGTAGGAGAGGGTTCGGGTACTGGGTGGTAGGGTAGATTAGGTTCGGGGGGGGGAGGTAGGAGAGGGTTCGGGTACTGGGTGGTAGGGTAGCGGGCCTCACGCGCCCGGGGGCGGCGCGCACCTTTGCCAGCTCCGGGAACTGCTCGGCCGCCACCAGCAGCGGCGTCGATGGCGTGACCGGCCCAGCCGCCAGCCACCGCTTGGGCGCTCGCCGCTTCTTCTTGACTAGGCCGTCCATCGCGTCCGCCTCCGCAACCAGCTCCTGCGCCATCGCCGGCCCGAGGTATGGCCGAGATATGGCCGAGGTATGGCCGAGATATGGCCGAGGTATGGCCGAGATATGGCCGAGGTATGGCCGAGATCTGGCCGAGGTATGGCCGAGATCTGGCCGAGGTATGGCCGAGGTATGGCCGAGGTATGGCCGAGATCTGGCCGAGGTATGGCCGAGATATGGCCGAGATATGGCGAGATATGGCCGAGGTATGGCCGAGATCTGGCCGAGGTATGGCCGAGGTATGGCCGAGGTATGGCCGAGATCTGGCCGAGATCTGGCCGAGATCTGGCCGAGATATGGCGAGATGTCGCTCCTGCGCCATCGCCAGACCGACGCCGAACTCGAGGCAGGCGAGCGCCTACAACCGGTGCGATCCCGCGCGGTCTCGATCTGGTGCGATCTCGTGCAATCTCGTGCGATCTCGTGCGATCGCGAGGCTCGCGCGCGCCGTCGGCGAGTCATGGTCGTGACCAGACAGGATAGCGGCACACTGGCACGAGTTGCCTGCGTTGCGAGTAGGGGGGAGGGTGGGTTCGGGGGCCGTGGGGTAGGGGAGGGTGGGTTCGGGTACCGTTGGGTAGGGGAGGGTGGGTTCGGGTACCGGTGGGGTAGGGGAGGGTGGGTGCGCCAACATGAGGGTAGAGGACTCAGAGCGCCGCGCGGATACGAGGGGGGGGGGGGTGCGAATGTGAACTGCAGCCGACACCGTGCCCTGTCGCGCCCCAGCTGGGGGGGGCGACCAAGACGCGTGTCCGCTTCTAGGGCACGAGACACGGGGAGATACGGGGGGATACGGGGAGATCTGGGGAGATCTCCCGCTTCTAGGGTGGAGGGCCACGCGGCGGGGGCGAGATACGGGGAGATCTGGGGAGATCTGGGGAGATCTCCCGCTTCTAGGGCGAGCTGCCGATCAGCTGCGCCGTGCCGCGGCTCATGATGTGCAAGTGTTCCGAGAGGGAGACGAGGCCGCCGCAACCGCCGCCCGCGCCGCCGCCGCCTCCGCCTCCTCCTCCGCCTCCTCCTCCTCCTCCTCCTCCTCCGCCCTCGCCGCTGCTGCCGCCGGCTCGCTCAAAGGACAACATGCCCCCCTCGCACACCGACTCGAGGCCGGTGGCGATGATCTCGGTGATCGCGGCGTGGTCGAGCAGAGAGAGCTCGACGGCCGCCTGAGGGGGCAGATCGCGGGAGATCTAGCAAGATCGCAGGAGATCGCGGGAGA